TTAGGGTCCCTATTTTCGGGAACCCCCATATCCCCTTCCTGCTTTGTTTGGTTCTTTGCAGAGTTCGGGGGTGTCTGGAGTTTGGGGCTGCGGGCAATGTCTTGGGCGCTAAGAGAGCAGGGGGAACGGCTTCAGACCAGGCATGCACCCAACAAGTCTGCTGCAAAAAAGGGCAGTCTGTATGTAATGCACGAAGATACCACGATTCAATTATTCAGGCCGCTGTATTGTTTCAACACCCCCCAACAGCTGAGGTTTTAGCGTATGTGCACGAACTAGAAAACCAAGCCCCTTGTTCAGTTAAACCCGTTCGAGGTTTTCTGCAAAGAAGGGAATCAGGGGCTTAGAAAGGCTTTGGGAGCTGGGGTAATATACGAGTCGGAAGAACGAGTAACCAATACTATCCCTTATGGCTACACTGCAATAAACCCGAAATCCGTCTAGTTGCTAAGGCTCCCATATTCGCAGACCCTTACCTTTCAAACTCCGGCTCGAGATTTTTAACAGACTTGCCACGCCTTCGAGACGCCGAGTGTGCGCGATATCTGAGGTCTGCGCTGACTCCAAGAGAATCTACAGCAAGGACACACGCCATTTTTCACACGGCCTAATATGCCGAAATCTTGAGGAAACTGTATGTCGTACGGGTCCGTACCTATGAACTGTCAGGGCATTCTATCATGGTTTGTTCGCTCCAAGTTGTTTCGCAGCACATTGTCGCAGCCAAGCGGAAACTTTGAACTTTTCCACGGCCCGTGTTTCGAAGGGGAGGAGAACGAGCGAGAGAGAGACAGAGAGATTTTGGAGCCGTGGGCTGTGGGCTTTTTGATTCTAGGGGGCTGCACAGTACGGTGATGCAGTGTCGGATGTTTTGTCCTGTGTATCAAAGCTACAAATTTCATGCTTGCCGGAAGGTTCAGGTATGGTAGAAGCTTAGTAGCTGAGTGAGTACACTTTACACTTTCTGGGATAATATGATCCCTTATAGAAATGAAAGTGTACATTTTTTGGGGCTTATGAACTCAGCAACTAAGGAAGATGGCTGTATCGGCTACAGCAGAAGCCGAAACTTGGGGTTCTTTCTCGTTTGGTTTGATGATTAGCTTAGGGTTTCGGGTCTGCGAGTGTGCGAGTCGAAATCCTAGGCCCCGAATCCCTCGCCACGCTGAAAGTTATTGTTGGTCAACGTGTTGGGCATCGGGAAGCCCGGGAAAAGGACATCTTTCTGCACAAGTCGGAGATCGGTCATGAGCCGGACCTATACAAGCTCCGCAAGAGGCATTCGGGACTTGAAAGCTTTACGGTTTCGAGGTTAGGGCTGTACCTAGGTCCCCCAACTACCTTGTAATATACCCTAAACCCTAAACCCTAAACCCTAAACCCTAAACCCTAAACCCTAAACCCTACCCTAAGTGCCCACTATTAAGGGCCATAAGGGCTCTATCAAAGGGCCCTTGGGGGTCCTGGAAGGGCTTCGCCTACAGGTTTTGGAGCGTACGGTTTGGGTTTCCATTGATTTCAGGTTGCAGGATCACGGAGACGAAGTCGGTTAAAACTAGCTACATATAAATAAATATAGGCATATATTGTTATATTCATATAATATATATATATATATATATACATATATACACACCCATACAAAAATATAGGACTCCAGGATTCTTCTTATTACCGCGATTATTTCGATCCTTTGAAATTTATAGTGCTACATGTCAAAACGAAACGAGGGCTTGATATCCGGCCGTCTAAGATGTCAAAGCAGCCTCGGCCAAGCTATCTCAAATGCCGAGACCTGGCATTGAAGCGATCCTAAAATCCTAAACCCTAAACCCCTTAAACCCCGGACACTTATTGCCATGCCTGTAGTTGCGAGTGTGTGAGTCGAAACCCTAAACCCCTAAACCCCATAAGCCCTACTCCCTAAACCCTAAACCCTAAGCCTTCAGCGCCCAGAGGGCAACCTTTAAGCTTTTGGAGGTCAGGAACCTTACGCCCTAAACTGGGTTCTTGTTCAGGGATTTAAATCAAGCCACTATAATAAGGAAACTATATTATGTGCCATAGCTCCTTATTGTGGCAACTTAAACTGAACTCCTTAACAAGAACCCAGTAAACGCAGAGATAACTGCCACTGCAGAGGTTAATCTGTACAGCCTCAAGGAAGCTAGTTGAAACGCGACACCGCGATCGCTGAAACACTCTTCGAGCCGATTGTGCGCGTAAACCCTGTCCTGTGAACAATTTTTATTTTAATTTTTGCAACTTGATCCTGGAATCAACTGGGGGCATTTCGTTTTCTGAGGTGTTTTATGGTGTCGGGTTCCGGCTCTGCTTTCGCGAAGGCTCTCGAAGTCAACTCCAGCCCTTGCGAAATTTGACGCTCCTGCACCCCGAAGAGTCAAAAGGTTCAACCTTGGACCTTGAATCCCCGAGTACTAAACCCCTAAACCCTAAACCCTGAACCCTAAACCCTAAACCCTAAGTTTTGGTTTAGGGTCAAGCCATGCCTTTATGGGTTTGGATAGTGGCATGCATGGGCAGCTTGCAGTGTCACGCCGACTTATGCACCTGTGGATCCTCGCCTGGCTTGT